AGTGGACTATAGGCAGAGGGGTACAGGCAGTGGGGTACGGGCAGCGGGGTACAAGCAGTGGGGTACAGGCAAGGGGGTAGAGGCAGCACGGTACGGGCAGCGGGGTACGGGCAGCACCGGACAAGGCAGCGGGGTACAGGCAAGGGGGTACAGGCAGCACGGTACGGGCAGCGAGGTACAGGCAGCAGGGTACAGGCAGTGGGGTACAGGCAGCGGGGTACAGGCAGTGGGGTACGGGCAGCGGGGTACAGGCAGCACGGTACAGGCAGCAGGCTGCCAGGTGTGCTGCCCCTGAGCTGCTGCGAGCGGCTGAACAACGCTCCCCTGATTTTGCTTTCACTCAGCCCTTTGAAATCTGCTCTGCAACCCAGTTTAAGCTACACGAACATGTTAATTGCTGTAAATGGAACAGCTGAGCAGAAATATGCTCTACTGACCTCTAATTAAGCGCTATACATTTGGCACTTGAGTCAGAATACGATTATTATTTATTGTCTTAGCAAAACACAATCTGCTGGTTTCAGCCATTTCTTCCTTGTTCACATTTGAGTTAGGATGTGTGGTGAGTGATACATGAGCTAGTCATATCTGCTCTCAGCTAAAAGCTGTGTTCTAGACGGAGGAATATTAGTACTTCATGAATATGTATTCATTTTTCAAACTTTTGAGTCTGTCTAAATTATAAAACTACTTTGTTGGGAAAGCTTAATTGGGAAATCAGCTGCATATTGTACCTCTGTAGGAATATGCAAGAGGATGCAGATGCAGTTGCCAGCCTGGCATCTCTTTTGGGGCAAGTTGCACAGACTACAATGTTGAAGAAAAGGCTTAAATTTTGTAAATATAAGACCTTTTCTTCTTGTATATTAGTGTTTGTTTGGCTTTGGAGGTTTTTTGGTTGTTTTGTTGGCTTTTTTTTTACTAATCCACTAACTGCATATTTACTACTTTGAAGATTATTCTTAATTTTAATACAAATTGAATGTGAAGAGAAAGAAAAGCGAAAAATGAGACCAGAACAGCAACACCTGTAAAATCTGCGTTGTAAAGGAAGCCCGGCTTACAAAACTGTTCAGTGGTGCCCTCTAGGATTTTTAAGTGCCAACAAAAATTAATCCTTAGCCTCCGTATTCCCACAAAACACCCAACCCACAAAACAGACTTACAGTGAATACAGTATAATAGTATAAAGCCCACCATGCTGGTTTATGAAAAAGCCATCTTGCTCCTCAAAGAATCAGCTGCGTGGCCCAAACCAGAGTTCATTTTAATAAAGGACTTGGATTCTTGGGTAAAGCAAAATATAAAAAAATACAAAGCTATTAGCATATGAGAAGCCTTTTTGTTTATCTTTCCCTTTATAATTGTTATTTCATTAGTGATTTTTCTCCCATTGCTAACATGTAGCTTGTCTTGGCAGCTTCCTTGCATTTCCTGTCTTGAGCAAATTTTGAGTCATACCGAAGCAGCGTTAGATAGCATCGGTAAATACGCACTATGAACTGCAGCCTGTGTTCCTCGGTTACCTAAGCAGCACCATAAATCCCAACCGTGGAGACGAAAGGTCGGAGCAGTAATTCAGGGATCCCACAGCTGCCCAGGGAAGGAGGCATTTCTTAGGATCTGTGCTGGTGCCCGAGACAGGCTGAGGTGCAGGCAGCAGCACAGGATTGGGCTGCTTCTCTGCCTTCTCTGGAACAGGGCTTCTGAGCCCCACCATGAGCAGGGCTGTGGTTCATTAATGTGGGACTTCAAGAGAATCACCAGCACAAGCATGAACAGGAGCAGGCGGCTGCATGTGCCAGGTCTGCCCAGGCACCCGTGACAGTGTTCACACTGACCTTGGGCTTCATGCCAACATGACATTAGCCAGGGCAGGAGGGACAACACCCGATGCAGCATAAAGCTGTGGCTGCACAGGGAGGTGACACCTCATCTGGCGTAACGTTCCTGTGGGACCAAAACACATATTCAAGGTTGAATGCAAACATAAAAATGTCCAAAGGCAGAAGTGAATCTGTACCAAACCCATGCTTCACATCCTTCAGCTGCAGTACTGTTGATCCCTTACTAAAGACTCCAAGCTCAGATTTATAATCTGGTCTGAGAGATTTATTTAGTCTTCTGTGCCAGGGCAGGATTTTCCAAGATACTTGACTCATCCATGTAACTTTTTTCTGAGTGTCCTCTCATTTTTCAACGGTTTTTTGGAAGGGTGGGCACCCGAAACAGATGCCGCTGTGATGGTGTTGCTGGCATTGATCACAAGCATCAAGCTGCCCCCCTGCCCCAGCAGTTTCTGATGGTACCCTCGAGGGTGTAACATCACACTCGTACATCAGCTCCCAGCTTCTTTGGAGAAGAACCTCCGCCATCAGAAGGTTAGGTGCTACCAGTCTAAGATAACTGGTACTACCAAGGCTGCAACAATGAGGTGCTGCAAACTGCAGCATCTTCTCAGAGCCACACTCTGGGAAGTGGAAAAGGGTCATTTCTTCTGAGACTGCTCAGTATTTCACCCTTTGCCTAGCCTGGCAAACCGCATCTCTTGTCTCTGCCTACACTACTTTCCCCATCTTGCTACAACTTGGAGTCAGTGCTGCTGGGACCCTCATTCCTCACCTGCTTTAGAGCCACTTTGGACCTGCCAAGGAAACCACCCTCCCGCTGCAGCTGGCCCCGTGCAGCCCGTGCTGTACGAGCACCTACGTCCCTGCTGCTTCGTCGTCAGCCCGTTCTCAGCACCACCCTTCCAAGCCTGCCGGGACTGGAAATGGAAATCTCACATACTGGTTTTAACAGTTTGTGCATTCTGACTGCAGCGCTTCAGCTGCTAAAGGTCCAAGCACTTACACTGAGTAAGGAACGAGGCATATTTTTTAGCACCCATACTGTTGCATGGCTTCATACACAGCCAGCAAATTAGTGTCTTCCTGCTTCTGTCACTGTTCTGTTCTTATTTTGGACCACAACCATAAAGCATGTTGCATTAGCACCTTTTCCTCATAGCTCTAGCATATGCCTTGTTGCTGAATAGGTTTCTGTCTGGAATAGCTGAAACTGAATTCCTTCCAGCTTTGCCTCTTAATGCACTTTCTGCAAAATCTGGGATTTTATGCCACTGATTTTCATTAAACTGAATGTTTTGTTCTGTTAACAGCTGATTTAACTCAAATGGATGATATATCCCTAACGAGAAAAGAAAGCATGCTTGAGAGCAAATGGAAATTCCCAGTCAATCCAATTAGTGCTGAACTATTGCAGTG